CAAAGACGTGTTTTAAGCAATGTTCACATTCATGTAAAAACAATAATAATAAAGCGGTTAAAAGTTAAAATTTGCACATAAGTTCATACTTGTATAAAATCAGATAATCAAGCCAAATATAACAGTTGAGCGACCGTGCTAGAACCACGGAACTCGGGAATGCCTAACACCTTCTCCCGGGTTAATAGAATTCCTTATCCGGATTTCTGGTACGCAGACTGTAATATAGAGTCATTCATTTCCTCGATTCGGGATTAAAATTGGTGACTTGGGACACCCTAAATCTCCCAAGTGGCGACTCTGAAATAAATAAGCAAATCCCGTTTCGATTGTCCTTTAATTGGAAAAAACTCCCCTGCGCCCCCCTCGGGTGCGGAAAAAGGAGGTGTGACAATCCCCTCGATGTACTCCAGACCCTCTTTGTTGCCAAGGCCTTAGTTAGTGGACTGCAAGATCTATACCCATTTTTTTTAAAGTTTTAACTTGTACCTACTTTTTAAATAACTTCAGTCCCCTTTCTCCTCCTTCGTTTTCTTCTTCTTCTTCTTCTTTCTTCTGTTGTTGTTGGTGTTGCTATGAATATACAGTAATACAGATATTCATAGATACAGTAATTGGCTATTCACCGACTTGATTTTCTTGCTCTTCTCCTTTTGTCTGGTAAAGTCTTAATTCTCTTTTATGTGAAATCATAGATTTTATTTTTCTTATAGTACTCAAAAAATTAAAGTCATTTATGTCCAGTTAATTTATACAAAAGTGAAGCATTAACTCCTAATAGAATTAACATGACTGAATTAATTGCAGGAGCAGTTCTACTAGGAAGTTTCCCTATACTCTTTTCATCTTCATATTCAGATTGGCAAATAGCACAGGTTTTTGGTTCTACATCAGCAACTACTGTGGGGTCGACTCCATCTTCTTTAGCAAGAGAATGATATGTTCTTATTTCCAAATACTTCAATGCAACGTCATCGTTCTCTTTCTCCTCATCATGACCATCCACATCATCCTCACGATCAAATAGATGGTCATACAGAAAGCCAAAATCAAAGGCTAAATTTTCTGGAATTGTCTTAAAACTTTCATTTTTTTATAAAAACTTCAGCACTAAATAAGTTGAAGTTTCTACAAATGAACTAAATAACTTTAGCATCTCTGCTGAAGTTTTTGAAAAAACTTATCCAAGACAAAAAAACTTCAACTTATTTAGTGCTGAAGTTTTTATAAATGAACTAAATAACTTCAGCATCTTCTGCTGATGTTTTTGAAAAAGCTTATCCATGACAAAAAACTTCAGCACTAAATGTTTAAGTTCAACAAATAGAGAACAAAACTTCAGCACTAGAATGCTTAAGTTCAGCAATTACAAACAAAAACAAGTTAATCAAATAGAGAACAAAACTTCAGCACTAGAATGCTTAAGTTCAGCAAATAGAGAACAAAACTTCAGCACTAAAATGCTTATGTTCAGCAATTACAAACAAAAACTTCAGCATAGTTGGTCTACTTCAGGCCTGGCTACTAGAATGCTGAAGTTTTGCGTGATTGCCTTTGCTACTTCAGCCCCGTATGCTGAAGTACCGCAAAAAAGTGGGTACGCTTGTAATTGTTTTTGCAAAGCGGGCACAAGTTAAAACATGACCCAAAAAGCAGGTATAGATGCAAATGCCCCTTAATAGTACCACTTATCAAATATCTCACAATATCATATTTTTCTCTTTATAGGTCTGGATTTATCGTTCTACTAACGGTTTTGTACTCTACCAATACCAGTAGTACTATCACAATGAATTAAAATAAAAGGAATTGGTTTTTCAAAATAAGAAATTTGAAATAATAAATCTCCCAACTAATTCACTTTTCACTAGCTGAACCTAAAACAATTAGTTCAGCCTCCATGGTAGAGTTATCAATTATTATTTTCTTTTGATTTCCAACAAATAGCAAAATCTCCCAAAGTAAAAATGTTCCAATCTGCATCAGAATAGCTTTCAAGTACAACAGGATATTTTTTATAAGATAAGCCTAGGTTTTTGTACCAAGTAAATACCTCATAACTCTTGTTATGGCATGCAAATATACATTAACTCGCTTGCTTGTAAACCTGCTAATTACTCATACTGCATATACAATATCTGGCCAAGTGCAATCAATCACTTATTCTCAAGCTTTCCAATTAAGCTAGCATATTCGTTTTAATTCATCATATTATTATTACTTTGTACAGAAAATAACACTTGAATCAAGAAGAGTTACAGCATGCTTCCAATCAACAATTTTTTTTTTTTTTTTAAATTCTCAACATAATGTGACTAATCAAGGAAACTTGCATCCCATTTACATTTATTATACGGTACCGCCTCTTTCCCTCAAAATTTTCTTTTCTCCATCATTCACCTACACCTGAAGTGGCCTCGAATAAGGACTCAACGCAGCCACAACCCACAAGCCACAAGCAATGCAAAGGGGAAGGACAGAATACTTGCTACTACTAAATGTTTCCAGCGCAAAGTTGTATTAAAAAGACTTCTTTACTGCACATGGTAAACAAACTTGACATAAACCAACCAAGCACATTCCACTGACTTATTGAAAAACTGTTATATATCAGTACAATGCTGAATACTATGGTGAGGATTTATCTTTGAATTTTCACTACCGCTCAAAAGTAATGTACTTACGTAGTATCTGTTAACTAAAGAAGGTAGACATTTGAGCTTCATCAGACTTCGAATACAAGTTTAAAAGGACATATTTCCACATTAATAGCTTGAAAGTATAATTTAGATAAAACCAAAACCTTCAATTTATACTTTACATAAGAAGGTCAAAAATAGTACCTACTATATCCAAATCTGACAATTTTTGAAGTCAGTGGTAATGTTTCCTGTAAGAGAGAGAGAGAGAGAGAGAGATGGAACCGGGAGTATGTTTACTAGCTGACCTTTTCCAACAAATTGATAGCAGCAATATTTACTAGGCTGATTCAAACAACACTCTCCTTAAACCTTTGAACAGTGGACTCCCATGTAGTTAATTTTTATTTTCCAATTTGAAAACATTCTATTATCTGAAAAGAGTGCAAGAACAGTTGAGTCAACTGATTATACCCAGTTAGGCAACAGCGATAATCACTTCAGAATACAAGTTCAAGCTCCTTGTTTAGTCAGAGCAATATGTTCGTCTAATAATCGATAGAGTTTTAACTTTTGTGCACCAGTTAACTGTTTATAGTAAATCTAATTTAGTCACCTGAAAAATAAAGTAACTAACCTATTACGTAATAAACATTGACAATGTAAAAGTTTTTAAAACTATTAGTGTTGCAGGTAAAATCCATTTACAAATAGGAAAACCGAAAGACCGAAACACTTATTTGAGAGTTGGAACTAGACAATTCCCATTCAACCACAACATAATTGGGATGTATGACGGAATTCTTCTACAACAGCATATCCATCACTTATAATGACTATATCACATTTTGATAGGATATTGACCAAAATAGTCTACAGATGTGCCGTGAACATTACAATGCAAGGTGAAATATGATGCCATTAAACACTACAAGTCACCTCAGGTACCATGAGTCATTCTCAAAACTGTCAAACTATTCTTATGAAGAGCAGAAAGCTAATGCAACTGTAAAATATTTATATGTTTCATTCTGCAAAGTTCTCTTCATGTTCTATGTCGTCCTTCAATGAGGTTCAACCAAAAGTAGGATGGACCTTAGAATGAACATAAATATGGGGAATCACGCCGCATCCACTATATAAAAGGCATTGTGACGTTGCACAATGCAATGTTTAGCAACCTCTAAGGTTGACCTCCAAGGTGAAATGATACAAATAGAGTTATATTCAACATAGATCACNAGTTTTGCAAAGAAATAGCCCACTTGTTTCTCGAGAAGAGATGGGAAACATGCTCAATATCATTTGATTGAATAGTTGACCCAGCCCCTTGATGTTTGAAGAAACCCTCCACTTCAATTGGTATTTTTTCACGAAAAGCAGACATGAGATAAGAAATCCAGTGTTTCGCTAAGATTTCAAATAGCAGTCCCGAATTCAGGTTGATTCTATTTTGGGGGTCATTAGATAGGAATCCAAAGATAAAAAGAGAAACAAAAAACAATCATTACTGTGTAAACGAAGAGTTTGAGAGTAAGCATTACACAGTGTAATCTCCAAGATGATTGTTTTGAAAAAAAAAAGAGAATAGATCATCCATTTTTCTGAGGTGTAGTATCAAATCTAGAACCTACACCTGTTGGCTCACCAAACAGCAGAATGTGCCAATTCAAGATTTGCACCAAAACTAATCCTGAAACCAGCTGTACGAATAAATAGGTCATGTGGTCTTGGGATGGGAAGGTGCTTATGTGGTTGATATATCACTATCCTTGTGGGGGAGGGAAATCCTGACAAGTCTCTTTCTCCTTGGGTTCAACTGGCCTCTTCTTCCAGAGTGAAACAGATAGCTACAACTTTCATTAAGAATTCAAATCACAGTAAAAAGCAGAAACTAAATCATATAGTTTTTTAAGTAATAACTCTAAGAAAATCACAGGCAAAATGCAGTTAATCGCATGCACTCACAACTGCTTCCCCTTTGATGAATAGTACTAGGGTACCTTTCAGCTCTATTATAGAAATTGGTGTTGCATCGTGAGTTTTAACTTAAGTAAATAGCACCTGAGTCTATATTAGCTGATTAATTTCATTTAAGTGGATAAATAAGAAATTCATTCGTTGTTCCGAATAAGAAGAGGTAAAAGGGGGAGACCATGAGTTTCTTCCCAAGGTTCTATCAGAAAAAATATTCAGATTGGTAACCATTGAATGATGCCGAAGGTTGCAGAAGAACCCAGCACATCAACAGCAATTTACAACCAAGATTAGACTAGTGGAAGGGAGAGTGAGTGACACTTAGGGGTCGTTTGGTAGGATCCATTAGATAAAATAATGCATGCATAAGCTTTGTGCATTAATAATACCTTGTTTGGTAGATATTTTGAACCTATGCATTAGTTATGCAAGCATTAGCTATACATTCTATTTGGTATTATCTTATGCATAACTAATGCATAGAAAACCATGGTATTAGCAATGCAATGGTTTTTAATGCATGCATTAGCTTAGTTAAAGACAAAATTGTCCTTCAAAATTTATGCTTGATTAAAATGTGCTAGTTATTATATTAATGCAAGTTTAAAAATAATCCAAATAGTGAGAAATAAAATTATATCTCTAGTAAATAAATAAATACTTAGCATATTTCTTTTTTTGTAAATAAATATTTAGTTCTATATTACAATATAGGTAGACAAAACAAATAATTTTTTTAAAAACTTTTTCATATAAAAGCATTTCTCAACATATGTTTCTTTTAAAAAGTTAGAGTGATGGACTGATTTTGAGGATATTTTTGTAAACAAACAATTCTTTTAGAAATTGTGCAATGCTTTAATACATCAAACCAAACAATGGATAAGAAATATTTCAGCACAACTAATACCAGCATAACTAATGCAAGCATAACTAATACCAGCATTACTAATACACCATATTCAGCATTATTCTTATGCACCCTACCAAACGACCCCTTAGAGACTTGCAGGTGATAGTGCTGACGAGAGGAAGCTCAAGCTGGTCTTTTCCTTGTTCTATTACTTATTAAGACTCTTCTTCATATCAGATGCACAACATACATTGCCTAAGCTGCTGGATGGTGTGAAAATTGGACCAGCGAAAACTACATTTAGCATGCTTCTATTTCAATTGAATCATCCATTATAAGATAGACAGTATTAGGTTCAATTAAATATCTCATCAAAGGTGGGTTGTGTCGTTGTTACTTCTTCACTGAAACTTCAGTCACCAAAAAAGAAGGCAAGAATAAGATCCTTCATCAGGAATCTATCAAAGAGAAAGCTCAAAAAGGTCTCCGAATTGATTACCAGAAACTGTCCTCATTGTCAAGCTCTGACAGTGCTTCCAGTGTGGTCGAGCTGATGATTGGACTTCACCATCTGAACATAGCAGCTGACAATCTGTTGGTCTAACTTGTAGTAGTATTCAATCCTTTCCAAAGGTTTCAAGTCCAGGTCAATGAAAGATGCCTAGCAATTTGCAAGCCAAAAGAATCCATTAATACTGGTAAAACCTATGAAGCCAGTCTTGGAACTAGAGAATCTGTGTTTTTCAGAATTAAGTGGATTGCATTAGCATTTACATGGTAACCAGTATTAATGCCACACTGTCATCAATCTTGGTTCTAGAGAAACTGCATTTCAGAATTAAGTGGATTGCAGTAGTATTTAACATGTAGACCAGTAGTTATGCCACACCATTATAATAATGGAAACTATCGTGGTATAAAGCCTATCTTGATACGGATTCAAAACTACTAAACGAAGAAGTTGGTTCCATTCCGGAAAAAAGGAATGATAAAAAACAGATGAAGGGGTTAGGTATGACTTTTTCTTTCTAGAAGAGAGGGCTTAGGTATGACTTTTTCTTTCTAGAAGAGAGGGCTTAGGTATGACTTAATGCTATTTAGTCGACACAATAAGTTGCACTAGAGTAAATCAAAATTATGCGACTTTACAATTAAAAATATTTCAAGTTATATTGACATTCTAAGTTGCTCGGACACGGGTGCGGATGTCCGACACGTGTGCATACCTAGAGGTCGGATCCTTTGAGATGTGAATTATAAGATTTGAGGATACGGATCCTAGTACGAACACAGGTACGGAGATCCAACTAAAAATAATTCAAAAAAATAAAAATATAAAAATATTTCTAAATTATGAGAATTTTTTGTCGAATACTTACGTATAGCTCGTAAAGTATGAATTTCTCTCAAGACGTAGATAAACAAAGGATTGATTTCCTAGACAAGGTATACTATTTTCTTCAAATTTACCCTAGCTCTCGTCTCGAATTTTTCCGTCTGTCGTGGTCAAAGTACCCAAAATCGTTGGATCAGGTCCAGTTCAGATCCCATACCCACATCCACACTAGCAGGGGCGTATGCAGAAACTTTTGTAAGCGGTGTCGAAATTTAAAGAAGAACTGGAATATAACTTTGATTATCATACTTTTAGACAAGAAATAGCCTTAGTCTATTGGTTTTGTTGAGTCTTACTTTAGAAAAGGTCATGAGTTCAATTCTATTTCATCACAATTTTTAACCACAAAGGCTCTCTCAAATATCTGCAAAAGTAAAATGTGCTAGTTGAGGTTTGAACCTTTGACCTCTTAGAGCAAAATAAAGCACACAACCAACACACCAAGACACAATTTATGTCAATTAATTGTCTTTTTTCCTACTTATCCGTTTCCGAACAGTATTAATACATATTATTTAGTAAAATTTTCCGACAAAGCGGTGTCACGTGACACCGCTTCGGTAAGCGTGCATCCGCCCCTACACACTAGTGTCGTGTCGACACAGGTGCGACACCTAAATTGCCGTATCAGAGCAACTTAGTTGACATTAGACCTGAAGTATCACCATATAAAATAAATTCAAGAATGAATTATCCATATTACTCTAGAACCCAAGGCAGGTTGAAAGAAGATCCATTTTCCATGGTATAACATGTTATTCTAGATCGAAAGGAGACTAAGCAAAAGAAGGGAAGAGTAATACCTTGTAGTCAAAACTTTGGTTGGTTGATTCTAAGGAGACAATGCTATATGGGGTTTCCACATTACCAGCTTCTCTAGGTCTAAAACTAATTATCATACTAAGGTCCTTTGCAGTTGCAGCTATCAAGTAATCCCTCACAATCTTCAAGCTTTCCTCCATCGACATTGAATGCAGAGAGTTATATCTCTTTGATGATTGATCTTTATCTAATTGTCCACAGACCATGCAAGGCTGAGAAATAACATTATAATATGCGTGAATTGCACCTTCAATGTCAGTTGTGTCTAGCTTCTGGACTTCAAGAAGCCGATTTAGCAACTCTGAACTACAGACAGTCTTGGAGATGAGCTCTAGAAAATATTGTGTCCGCATGCCCTCTTCTGCCTGAATTACATGCTTGAGCGAATTTTCAAATGCTTTACCAACTTCACAACTGGTAGTGTCTGCACCACCACCCAAACCACCAATTATGAGAGAACCATCCAGGAAAACCCGAAAATTATTCTGTGGGGTCTTAAAAAGGTTGTTTATTGCCTTGCGTACTCTGTCTCTGGATCCAGAGAATAAATCCAGAGGATCATATGCACTAACCTCTGATATCTGATATAGGGCAAGTACCAAAAAGAAACAGAAATGAGTGTTAATGTAAGTGGAAAGTGAATATAGTATAAAAGTGACCCACAAAAAGTTTTAAAAATTCTGCCAGTACAATGAGATGGAATGGAATTAAGAAATCCACCAGAGACAGCTTTATCTCAAGAATAAATTGCAGATGGAACAATTATTACCTTTCCTTGGTTCAATTTTAGAGCCTGATGCATTTGAAAACGAGTTACACTCTTTTTAACAGCATTATCTTCTGTGATAAATTCTGAGTGTGGAAGGAATCCACACTTAGGCTGGCTTCAACAAAAAGAAAATGGAGATAGCCGTGAGAAAAACATACTATGGAAATGTATAGAAAACAGTTTCTTTTTAAAAGAAGAAGAAGAAAACGCAGCATAAAGAGGAAGACTAACTAAAGCTTTTAGGAAACAAGTACCTTAATTTCTACAGAAATGCTGCATGCCTCTTTACACATACCTGACAGCAGGAGAATGTGAGTACCATAAGAAGTCAATGTAACTACAATAAATGTCCATATCTAAGCCTGCTTAGTTAGCATATCTAAGCCTGCTTAGTTAGCATGTAGACGATAATAAAGCTAGCTGGCCACTGCAAATTTTTGTTGTTCTCTTTCAAGAAACAAACAGAAATTGCAGTTATTTTGTTAGTAGTAGCATGAAATTGATTTAACCACAAAGTATTTACAAAATCAGGACACAAAAATTAAAACCATTTTTGCACTCAAACAATTGAAAGTAATATAGGAAGGATTATGACCTCAGAAAACAGAGGTATGTACTGAGTTTTATGTTTTATTGGTCTACTAAATGGGAGGCCAATTACTATTGTTCTCTTTTTATTTGATAGGTCTATGCTAACAGCTTTCTGTAATATAATGTTCAGTTCTTTACTACAGGTATGAAACATGTGCATGTTAACATTTTAGTGATGAATCAAGGGATAAAGAGGATTTGAAAATTATTACCGAGAGGGAACATTGAATGATCGGACATGAGCATAACAGAATCACATAGGGGATTGACCTTTGCAGCATCAACACGCCAAGCAGGACGCTGTGAGAGGACATTGCTTTCAACGGTTTCCAGAAATTCTTGGGTCACCTGAATGCTAATCTGTCAAACAAAAGGGAAGAAACAAGATGTAGATATTTAACCATGCTCCTATATAGGCAACTGAATATATCAAATCAGCTAGAAAAGGAAAACAAATTTACAACCTTGCAAAACTTAATCTTCAAACTCATAGATCATCATAATTTGAAGGTCTAAATTTATTCAATCCAAACAATAAATAAAGAATGCACATACAAAAGAGCAACTGCATAGATAGATGCTCTAGCATCTTAAAGGATCAAAAACTCATTGAAAAGGTGCCGAATGCCTTATTATTAACTGCAGAAAAGAAGTATCTGGAAAAGGGAAAAAGTAATTTTTTCTTCTATTCATATATAAGAAAAGATGATATACAGAAAACCAGATCAGATACGAAATGACAAGAATCTAGCAGCATAACACACCCCTGCATCAACGTGTCTAGGACCCAAAAGCGGGCACATCACATGCTGCACAAAATAGTGCTGAGCTATTTCCCTTGTAGGAGCTGATACAATCTCATTAACTTCTTTCCACAAGATGCATTCCTGATTGGTTAGACCTAAATAACCATTCCCATTTTCAGACCCATTCCTTGGTACCTTCTGTATCCGCAATACTTTTCCAACCTAAAAAAAAGGAATAGGAAATGCACTTAAGAAATCAAACCCTTTTCAGACTTAACAAAAAATGATACTCCAGAACACTTCCACTAATCAGTTTTACATTTTATATTTGGTACAATTCTTCAGTGCAAAAAAAGTAAACCATTCCTGGATCAAAGAAAAATCTCCCTTTTTTCAAGAATATCAACAAGCATTATCAAACCATTTGCTAAGCAAGAAAGGAGACCCAGTTACTCTTCCCTAGTTTATTTGCACAAGAATCACTTCTTCAACCAATAGTAATATTTGTGGGGTAGAGGGCAGTGGCGGAGCCAAGAATTTTAATAAGGGAATTCAAAATTTTTGAACTTGTGAACTAAAGCAATTTTTGAACTACCTTTGTGACTACACTGAAAACGGAATGATGAGTTAAGAGTACATATCTTGAGTAAGGTGAAACAGGTCCAAACAAAGTAAATTGAATAATGATTATTCATACAGCCAATCCCAATTAACTTGAAGTGAGAGCATAGTAGTTATTGCAGTTGTTTTCTGATGAGGGGGTAAAATACATGAACTTATTGAACTCATTCATGCAAAAGTGCCAACTATTACCATAAAATGGTTAAGTGAAAAGCAAAGAATATCATGGTGGATCTTCCTAAATAACTACTATTTGAAAAAAAAAAGAAGAAGAAGAAGAAGAAGAAGCATGGAATCAATATTAATCTATCGTAAAATCTTTTCTTTTTAACAAATATACTGCCAAAAAAGCATCACCTTTTTTCTGCAAAAAAAAGTTCCTACACAGTGAACAGAAAGAAAAGAAGAAATTGAGACATACAAAATCAGAACGGGTTCCATTATAAGCAAGAACCAGGTTGACAGCCCCTTCTCCTCTGTAAGTCCATTCTCCTGCATCCTTCGCCTCCAACACCACAGCCATCTGCAAACCTAATATAAATACACATATATTTCTAAAGAAGAATAAATCATAATAGGTAATTCGAGCCGAGAAGAGTGTTGTTACAATAGAGAAAGAAATGTACCAGAGAATTGGAAATGCGGAGATTGAGGATTTACTTATTTAGAAGAGGGTGAAAAAGGAAAACTGGAAAATCCTAGCAACTTGGCGTATTACCGGATCGGAGGAGACGCCGAGGATTATTCTGTGGCTTATTGAATAGTTCCTATGATGTTTGGTTGGGACTTTGGGATTGTGGGCACACCTGTTAATTTCCTTTTTATTTTCTTACAAAACATATTTTTAAATTTTGAAATAATTTAACTTTAAACTTTTAATTTAGTAATTTTACCCTTAATCAGAAACTTTTGTAACTACACAAATATCATGATCCCATAAAACTTTTATTCATACCACAAATTTCAAAAATCTTAAGTCTTTTTGTTAAACTCCCCGCGTCAAATCAAAGTAATTTATCTAAATTGAAACGGAGAAGTATTATAATGTGCTGACGTCATGTGCGTGAAGCTTTGGATTTATGTCTTCTAACACTTCCAGTTGCCCCCAAAAGAGCTCGAAGGCTTGACTGTGTGGCCGTTTCTTTCAATATTTTTTTTTCAAGTTTCTTTCAATTTATGACTATTTCGATCTTGTACAAGTTCTTGCATTTGACATACAATAAGTAATCACGTCCAACTATGCCTTATAAAAGATAAAGCGATCGTTATAAATATAATTCGATTTTAGGGTCCGGAGTCGAATCCTCAGGGAACTTACCTATTTACTACAATTCTTAGTGATGCTATTACAAGCTTAAACAATTTTCGCATGCAAGATTTTTGTAAACAAATATTGGATTTTATTTAACTAAGGTAAAATAATATTAAAACTAACAATATTCTAAATCAAAGATAATTCAATGGTAAAAAGATCTAGGGTATTGATTTCCCCAATTGCTAGTTTACTTATTAACTCTTTTGCTATAATCTCGCCGTAATACTCTATGAGGATTATGAGCTATGGGTTACCGCACTTATCTCTCGATCAACTACGATAATTTACTAGAGCATTCTCTCGAACTACTCTAGCTGATAATTTATGCAACTCTGAATTATCCCACCAAGTTTCGTTATCTCTAATCCCACTTTTAAGTTCAAGTAATGAATCTCTTCAATTACCCAAAAGTGGTGTTGTTCAACATCAATCTAACCTAGTATTCTTTCTCAAGCAACACAAGGCAATTAGACACGATTAATCAAGGACTCATTCAATTAATCACCATACAAAACATAGTTGAACAATCATATAATAAACTCGGCTTGATTGTAATAAAATTGAGTCAAAACTTCATCTAACAATTGGTTCCATCAAACCTAGATTAAATGGTTAGCTACTCATAGCAAAACAAGAATAAACCATAAAATCATTCATAATTTACAAAATAATGATAACAAGAAGAAGAATGAAAACTCTAATGGTGTCTTGATCTTCTCACACCTGTTCTTGCCTCCAATTCAGTCTAAAAACAAGCTTAACTTTCACTTGGGCGAGTTTGTTGAGTTAATATAGGGTTAGGATAAGTTTCACACGATTTACACTTTGGCCCTAAAACTTCTTGACTTCCTCCAGATCGACCGTGGCTGCGGCACGACCGCGGTCAATCCCAACCATTCTGTTTTCCGCCTTCTCTCACCGCGTTCCAGCCGCAGTCCCATCGCGATCACGGTGGGCTGTTGCCCAGTTTTTCTTCGCCTTTTCTTGCTCGTTTTCATCCGGGCTCTTCTCGGTTGGCCTTGTATCTACATAATTAATCCCAAAACACTCTATATCCTGCTCCTAATTCAGAGTAGTTCCTACAAAGCATAAAAACCTTAATTAGAGCATTTTGTTATCATTTAGCACTTAAAACATCAATAAAGTATGGTTAACTTAGAGCATAAATAACATATACATCGTATAATATAGGCTACTATCAACACCCCACACTTAAACCGTTGCTAGTCCTTTAGCAACAAAACCACACTCTATAGGCATAATCATCACTGGGTCACTTCCCTACTCCTTATACCAAGAATAATTCACATAGGTAGACTACCTTAGTATAACCTCTTAACCTCAAAAGTGGACTCTCTCTCTCTAGCCACGTAATGTCCCTAACCGGTTTTCATACTCTCAGTCAGAGGTCTAGACTTACATTTCCTTCATGAATCATGTGCCTACTCACCACAAAAGAGACTTGTGTCATGTTATATATAATTCACACACTTAAGGAATTCAAATACGTAAGATTTCACTCACCCTCAGAAATAAATTCTTATGCCACAAACAACGCGCCATAGGCTTGCCCATAGTATAATACTCGACTAATCGAGCCTAGTTGGTCTAGAATCAAGTAGGACTTTATTTGGTTGTAATGTTGGCTGCTGGAGGTAGGATACATATGGGTATAGTGACTCCACCTCCCTAAGCACTTCAATACATTTTTCACTTTTAAGCCCATACCTTTGTCAAACCTTCATTCCACCTTTACATTATTGAGTTGCACCCCCTACTTCCTTAAGCACATTTACATCAAGAGTCACCACTTAGCAAGGAAAAAAATATATTTTTTTCAATTCAAGTGACTCTTATTCTTTTTTTTTTAAATGCAGTGCACCTTTCTTCTTATTTTATTAGCTCCACTCAAAAGCCCAACCGACCACCCCACACTTTAATTTTTCCATATTCATTACAATTCAAGTGCTTATAAGAGGTGATAGGGTTCAAAAAGATAGACAAATTACAACTTGGGTAAGACTTGTAATGTGGTTACCAAAGAAACAGGATTACAGGCTCAAAGGGGTTAACTAAGATACACACAATCAGGTGGGTGAAAACATATATAGATAAGTTCAACAAGGAAACACCTATATCACTTTCCAGACCAATTAAGACTACCATTTCGCTTCGTACACACACATGGCAAGTTCTAGGCGTTGAGTGTTAGCATAGAATACACAAAGCCTCACTCGCACATAGCACATGACTCAATTCAGTTAGGATCATCAGACACTCTACTCAAGATGCTTAAGCCAACTCAAGAACACACAATTTAAGGCTTTATTGCTAGAGTCAACTAATGAGCCTAAGTGTCACACTAAAGCAATCTCTATTCAAGGTATCATGGAGTTAGGAAATCCTATTTCTATTCTTTGCCAAAAAATTCCTACACTAAAAAAAGAATAAAAAAACTAACTACACTGGTTCAAATGGAAACCCTTGGAAAAGAACCGTGGTTTAAAGAAAAACCAAGGGGGAGTTGATACACTACCTAACAAACGAAATTTTTTTTTTGTTCGACTTAAGTTCCTCAAGAGACCCGTCGAGAGGTGTCCATCTTCGGGCCCAGTCGAAGTTAATTAACATCAACCAAAAACACCAAACAACAACAACACCAAACAAATTTATACAATTGCACAACAATAACCATCCCCCACCCCACACTTAAAGATTTGGCATGTCCCCATGTCAAAGAATTTAAAGCAGAGTAAGGTAAGAGGACTTCCCTGGTGCTCAGTCCTAATCAGTGATGGTTCCAAGATCAAGGTGACACGTTCGTCCTAGCGCCCGGAGCCAGCCCATGACCTTTTTTCTCTGACCTAGCATTTTGAGTAGCCAAATTGTCAACTCTAGCACTTAGGTCAGTGATCGAAGCGCATAGGCCAGCCATCTCCTGCTCCAGGACTGTCATGGGGGTACTCCGGCGAGCCTGTGATGGGCCTGCCTCATCAGCACGCTGCTCTAGTGGGGTAGCATCATGCATAGTTCCCTCATCATCATCATCGGCATCATCATCATCATCAACCACCACAACCTGTTCTTTCCTAACTGTGATTTTGCTAGCCCTGAATGGGGCTTTTAATGGCAACTTCCCATCTACTATGGGATTTTCAGGAACTCGTGAAGCACGACACAACTTGGTGACCAGGGAAGGGAAGTAAAACACTTTGAGTATTTCCAGAGAGCGAATGAACATTTCATCCTGAATGAGCCAGGCCACATCAAAATCGTGGTGGGTCATAAAACAATTAATCGTCGCTACTCTTGGCCCATTAACATCTATAGTGTTGCTGGATGGCAGCAAACGGCTGTGATGATTGTTAGCCAACACTTAGCTTCCCAAGTGAGAGATTGGGAGTTCAGCGTAATTCTCTGCTTTATCCATATTGGATCCCGGCCAGCCACACGGATTGTTTCAAGAATTGGTGCCTACCAGATAGTTGGACGATGATAAGCAAGGTAATAATCCGCCTCTCTGGTGAATACCGGCAACCTGTACACTCGGCGGATGGCCTCAAGAGACGCATCCACCCAGGTATTTCTAACCATGACAACCCTATCAACATGCTCCAGGTAATTCGCATAAAACTCCCTTACCATCAGTACATTGCCCTCTTCCGATTCATTAAAGAAGATGTCCAGCTGACGCCTCCTCAATTCTTCAAAGGTACTTGGGCATTCAATTTGCAAGGCCTGCCTATCAATGTGTACTTCCAGTAACAGCTTCTTGGATGCCTTTATATTAAACCTATCATGAGCTGCTTTGGAAACAAACCGAGTGCGGTCAAACTGGTCCACACTAGTCTGAGCTCGAGCTTTGGATGAACCTCCTGGTCCACTAGCGGAGGAAGTTGTGGCATGTCATTTCCTTGACTGATGCATTGTACCTAACGAAATAGAGGCTACTATTAGTGAGGGTTTGAGGCATATGAACCGTGGGTGGTTACTCAGACTTCACAACCACCATGGTCACATTAGCCATAACAGCTCCATTGGGTCAATATCACAAGTACCTTGTGAGCATGGACTATAATTTAACACACCTATCCCATGGAAACATAAACTCTCCCCCCAAATCAACCATTATCACTTCATAACTCCACCCCACCACAATTAACTTCACACAACAATACCATTCCCTTCTCTACAACATTTTACACATTACCCACTAAAAAGAAGAAAAGAAAACCCAAAATTTAACTGTAGATACTACAACAATTCAAGCATTAAAATTGCAAAATAGAAAAGTACAATAAGAGAGATGGAAAGCATGACATACCTGGTTCTAGTAGAAGTTGAGAGTAATGGAAGTTGGGGAAGAAAGAGTTGGAAGTTTGTGTGTGGGAGAGAAGTGGGTTTGTGAGAAAGGTGAAGAAGAAGAAGAAAANCGAAAAAAAAAATTTAAGTACAACTTACCTGGGCGATAGAATGTCG